TATCAAATTATGTCAATTATGTTATGTGTCTTATGTTAACTGAAGACATCTCAGAAAATACGCACGTGATGATAGCTATTAGCTATCATATCTTCTATATTATAAATCCTAAATAATCCGCCGTGTGCGACGTAGTCACTTTGTAGCGCTTATTGCGGCGGCGTCCGTTGACCTATGGCCGTGAAATTTTACAGCGATGTGGGCCACCTTTACACGTAGGTCGTATTAAATTTTGGACATGATGGGGCCGGGGGTGCGCCCGCGGCGCGTGCTCGCGCGCCCATAGGGTTAACATTAAAAACGGCAAAAACAGGCTATTGCTCGGGAACGGTAAGAGCTACGGGGGTGAAATTTTCACTGGAAGTCGGACGCGTGCACTCATTTGTCGTATTAAATTTTCGAGGGGGTTGGTTCAGCGGTGTGCACGTGGTGGGGCCGCGACCGGCGCCGAGCAGAGGGCACGTGCTTTAGGCTCAGTTGTTCGCTTAAAAAACTGAGTGGGCCGGCAGGTCATTGACCTTTGACAACGGAGGCCGACACAAGGCACCGCTGGCCAAGGGGATTCACCAGAAAATACAATTAATTTATTTTTGCAACATCTCAGCCGTTTCTGGGCCGATTTAGCTGAAACTTGGACTGTCGCTGGTAGTGTAGGGTAGGGTAGGGTAGGGTAGGGTAGGGTAGGGTAGTGTAGTGTAGTGTAGTGTAGTGTAGTGTAGTGTAGTGTAGGAGTAGGGTAGGGGTAGGGGTAGGGGTAGGGTAGGGTAGGGTAGGGGTAGGGTTGAGTTAGAATAGGGCCTAGGGTAGGGTAGGGTAGGGTAGGGTAGGGTAGGGTAGGGTAGGGTAGGGTAGGGTAGGGTAGCGTAGTGTAGTGTAGTGTAGTGAAGTGTAGTGTAGTGTAGTGTAGTGTAGTGTAGTGTAGTGTAGTGTAGGAGTAGGGTAGGGGTAGGGGTAGGGTAGGGTAGGGTAGGGTAGGGTAGGGTAGGGTAGGGTAGGGTAGGGTAGGGGTAGGGTAGGGGTAGGGTTGAGTTAAAAAAGGGCCTAACATACAAAAGACTTGGACACTCCGCAACTATCGCTATTATATTAAAAACAGCTACCCAAATCTACCCAAATAATACAGCTAAAATACAAGCTACTCACCCAAACTAATGCATCCGTCACATATAATTAATCAAAACATACAGTTATCGCGCAAACCTGTACCTCTAGTATTTTATTAAAGCTAATTTCATGGCAATTAATGCTCCACATCTTTCATTTTGCACAATGGGGCAACTGAGCAAGGAGGAAAGGATTCAAGTTGCAAAATCCTACCCCCAAACCGGCTCTGTGGTGCAAACACAGCGGAAACTAAAGGCCCACTTCAAAACAAACAAACAAAAAAGCTCCTCCCACAAGTGTGCAAAAAGTGTGTGAACACCATCAGCCTCCAATGGCTACAGCAGGACCCTCCACACACTTTCGAGATCAACGATGGTCTGGCTCAACGAGCGCATGGGTGATCGGATCAAATCTCAGCGTGCCAACGTTAGCTGGCCGCCACACTCCCCAGACCTATCGCCCCTTGACTTTTATCTGTGGGGGTTCCTCAAAAGTGTGGTATACGCAAAGAATCCTCAAACTCTGGACCAGCTGAGGAACTCGACCTGGACATACATCCGGAAAATCCCGCTTGAAACATGTGCCCGCGTAGCCCAAGAGTCCTAAAGACGCTCCGCCATGTGTGCCGAGCAAAAGGGAGGACACTTCGAGCGTTAGCACGGCTGAACCTTTAACTGGGATGTGATGCGATGTGTGCTTGTTATGTTAGCAATGCATGAATGAAACCTAGTTTCAATATTTCTAATTGTTTTCTTCTGAGTTGCTGAAAATATCGGCAAAACAATTGAAAGCTTTTTCCCAGGAACACCCGTGGAAATAGTTGAAGAGCGAAATTGCAAGGGTTTTGCTCTTCCGTTATTACTCGGCTGTCACGTAACGTACAGTAAAATAGATTATATCAAACAAAATGCTATGGAATGAGCTTTCATATGGCACCAAATTTAGGATCATTGTATGCTCAGACACTGAGATATCTTCATTTCAAATGAGGTACATTTTTTTGGGACACCCTGTACTGACAGATACATGTGTCATTGTGTACTGTGCTGGTGGAGGGGCAGCAAGCGGGATATTGGGAGCGGGCTGTTGTAATTGCTTTTGGCCAGTATCGAAATTCGTAATTATGGGACGCAGTGGTCCAAATTTCGCGAGGACTACGTCCCAAAGGCAGGGGGCTGCGTCCCAAATGGGACGCAGTCAGTGTGTTAAAATATGCCCTGATGATTGTATAGCAAAAAGCCCGTTAGTAGCAAAATATTCTACGAAAAACTGTCACGTGCGTGTGCTGCTGTGACCTGTGGGGTGCCTCTGTTGGGGTGCTCAAGTCTTATTGGGGGAGCTCAATCTAGCATGTTGGGTGCTGAAGCACCCCAATGATATGCAAATTCAATATTCACCACTCTATATAAAAAAGAAATCAGAGATGTAAAAACTAGAAATATTTATAACGTCATGTTATCCAACAACTTCGAAAATTTTCATGCCCACAATTATATCAAGAAATTCACATTTATGAGTGTGACTACCATGGACTTCGATGCGAGAGCGTGTGGATTTTCAAAAAAAAAAAAAACACATTGGGGCGTCACAGGCATAGATGTGGTGTGCCCCTAACGACTGGGCGCGCCCCCAATGCCAAAGAGGGCCCTCACATTTCACAGTACCAATAATATCGTAGGCACTATTTTTAGTGGGTTATTCATAACGCATCGAAGGCATCGATAAATCAATAAAAATCCTCTAGAGCTTGTTTCAAGATTTGCAATTTGCAATCGTGGTTGCAGAATATCGTCAACATTTTAGGAGCAAAAAGTGGTGCCGCAACCTTTTCCTTTCCAGCCCCCACTCCCTCCCCTACCGGGCGCCGCGAGTTGCATCCCCGAAACCTGGTGAGGAACTTCCGCACTGTCCGCTTAGGTGGTAACGCCCATGCCTATTGCCTAACTATGTAATTTGAGCTCAGTATGACTTGAAATAATAAAAAAGTAGCCGCCTTACTTTAACATAACTGTTTTCTTAATATAAACTCTGCAATGTGAAAAGAAAATGTCCGGTTGAGAAGCTTTCTGCATTGCGCCACCATCAGCTCTCAGCACCATCATCTTGAGAGCCGGTGACGGCATGGCGAGCAGCTTTTCAAAATGCTGTTTCTTTTGAGCTCAGAATACCGGGTGGCCCCAGAAAAACGTTCCCAACTTTAAATCAATATTTCTCAGAAAGTGATAAAGATACAACATTAAAACTTCCAATAGTCAATGAGGCACATGTTGTTAGCCGTTTTCACGACGGTCTCTCCGGCGAATGTACCTGATTTGACCAAAGCTGCATCTAATTTCTTTTACAGCAAATATCTTAATTTTATGAATTTATTTCAGTGTTTTAATCGATGATGCTCTCTGATAATATGACAAAGCAGGCATATAAGCAATTAGTGCAACCCTAACTGATAGCTGCTAAGAGACACACTGAACCTGATTTGACCAAATCTGCACCTAATCTGTACCAGATGTGCACTGTACCGGCCCGTAGGGTAGTGTGGGGTAATTTGAACATATTTTTACGTCTTCTCCATTGTACCAAATTCCAGTTCAACCCTGGATGAAGAAAAACTGCTTCAGTAGCGCAAGTGTCACTTGCTTTCACCATGCAAGCCTCATTTTTGGACGAGCCGAGCATACCTTGAATAGCATAGCCTCACTTCTCCACCAAGTCACGGTGTGTTCAAATTGCCCAACCGTGGGGTAATTTGAACATACTGCCTTTACCTGTCATAAAAACGATAGTCTCGCCAGCACCGATGTTGTTTGACCCATAAACAAATAGGCAGAACAATTCTAAACATACCTTCACTTGAAAAATCAACACAACAGCAAAAATAACAGTTGCAGAGTATCAATATCTGCACGCTGCACACCGGTCAGTTGACAGAATTCGTCCCTTTTCAATTAACAGAACGTCTATCATTTTTGTTCGATAAAAACTCTCCCAACCGTACTACATCTGTTAAAGTGGTGCCAATCGAAACCTGGACATTTGGAGTTCTGATTTTGTCCAATGTCCAATTCGGAATTGGTTGGACAAAGTTAGCAGACTGGACAACATTGGACGATGGCTTGCTACACTTCAGCGCTTTTTATAAAGTAGTCGTGCATAGCATTGATTGGCGAATGGAAAGCTTGTTAAGCTCTCAATATAATGAAAACTTTTCGGCTGGTAAAATTACATGATAAGCAATATAAATGACGGTTTTGAGTGTTGATAGCTGCATAAATTTTCGGACATATTTGGACAAATAGTTGACTTTAACATTTTTGGACGGAAAATCAACAAAAATGCCGGACATTAGACGGATATTAGACGTAAATTTTCTAAAACTGGCATCACTTATCTGCTACTGCCTTGGGTCGAAAATATTGGCAAAAAAAAAACTGGGAGCTTTGTATTTTTCGGAGCTATCCCTGTCTTCATTCAAATTCTCACACTATGTTCAAATTACCCCACGCTAAAAGTTATTTTGCCATTTTAAAAAAACAGGGTTCAAAAGCAAATTTCTTGGATTGAAGGCACTGATTAGGTCATTATACAACAAAAGCCGTTGCGTATTAGGCGCTAGCAATGCAAGATTTTGCGCTGCAATGAAGTTGCAATGACGTGTTGTTAGGCGTTTTTCCTTGCGAAATTGATTTTTTACACTGTGCGTCAACATCTTCATTCCCTGAAACTTTAAACCCCGTTAATATGATAGCCCTTTTAGTTACGATAATTTCTCTCATTGGTCTTATTGTCATGCGACTTATGGATTTTCCGTAATTTTGTGTTATTCACACTATGTTCAAATTGCCCCACATGTTCAAATTACCCCACCCTACCCTACCTGTGACCGACTGTGATGGGCTGACCGGGATCGCCTGCGGCGCCTGGGGGCGCCGGCCGGGCGGACGGAGGGTCAGTGTGTGCTGTGGACTGGTGGAGTGCGGTGCGCCAATACACAACACATGGCGCGGTCGGTAGATTATTGAACTTACAATTCCATCCATGATCTCCTAGTGCAGCAAGAATCCTCAGGGGACGCAAAATGACGGCAGAAGCGGCAGTTGAGCGCCTGACGGAGATGCTGAGTCAGCAAATGGAGACGGCGGCTCGAGACAGGATGGAGGCACGCGAGAGAGAAGAGCGGCTAACAGAGCGCCTTCTGTCTCTGGCTACCTCTACACAAGCCGCCTTACAAGACCGTCAGGTACGTGCTGCTGAAGCAGGTGAGACGGCACAGGGTGCGCGTTTGACTACTAGCTCACTGCCCTCTGCTGCGCTGGCATCGGCCCCGCACCTCGTATCTGGCGCGTCTTTGAGAGAATTTGCCGTCTGGAAAGATAAATATAAGGGCCATTGTAAATTGACACGAATGAGTCAATTATCACACGAGGAGCAAAAGGCTGCACTGATAGCACTACTTGATGATGACTTGATCAGACTGTTGAAGTACTCGTTGGGCGTTGACTTGGATGACGCGAATGTGACGACTGACGTCATAATTCAGCAGATTGGTGACCACTTACGCAAACAGAGAAATGTCATTCTAGACCGACGAGATTTTTTTCAACGGGTTCAAGAGGCTGGAGAATCGTTCAATGATTTTTTGATGGCGATCAAAGAAATTCACGACTTTTGCAATTTCTGTGACCATTGTCAGGACGATCAGCTTCGTGACAAGATAGTTACGGGCATTCGTGATACGATAGTTCTAGAAGAGCTTCTGGCCGATGAATCACTCACGCTGCAAAAGGCAATCAACATATGTCGAGCTCGCGAAAACGCCCAGTGTGGTCGCGATGAACTCCAAAGTCATTATTTGTCCGCTAACCGTGTATCTGCAGCCCAGAGGGGCAAACACGCCCCGGTTAAGAAGTGCGGTTTCTGTGGTGAGGAATGGCACGCTGACCTGGCCGACTGCCAAGCCCGTTCCAGCACCTGCCAGGCCTGCGGACGGCGTGGCCACCTGGCGGTGGCCTGCAGAACCAGCGCTTCATCACGCGGCCGCCAGATGAGAGGGCAGCCGGTGCCCAGCCGGAGCCAATCAGCGGCATCTCAGGGCACTGCAGAGGCGCAGCGAGACCCCTCGAGACGGCGCTCTGGAAGAGAGGTGAGACGATTTGATGATCGTGTGCAGCATCGTGTCATGATATCAGATGTATCAGCAGGCTCCATGCACCGTAAAACGCCTCAGATACAGGCAGGTGTTGAGCACTTGAATGGACATGGTCAATTGTCGTGGACCCCCGACACCGGAGCCGAGTCCACCGTTGTTGGTCCTGAGCATGCGCGTGCGATCGGTGTTGATCTCCGAAATTTGATTCCCTCAAAAGAGAGACTGTTTTCTGCAGATGGAAAGCCCTTGAACTGTCTTGGAATATTCACGGCCACCATCCATATCGGTCAATGCGCCGTTGCAACTGACATATATGTCATCGAAGGTGTGAAGTCTGCCCTTCTGTCATGGTTTCATTCCATTGACTTGCGCATCTTGCCTCCATGCTTTCCCCGGCAAATGCAGTCCGTACAGCAAGGGAGCGCAGACGACGTCAGGCCGGGCCCTACGACTGCGGCAGCAGCGGCGCCGGCTGCGTCGGCGGCGGCTCCGACGACCACATCAGCAGCGGCGCCGGCGCCCAGGTCAGCGGCGACGCTTGCGGCTGCGCCGGCGGCGGCCGGGTCGGCGGCGGCGCGGGCGGCTCCGTCGTCAGCGGCGCCGGCTCCGTCGGCGGCTCCGGCGGCCGCGTCTGCGGCGGCGCCGGCGCCCAGGTCAGCGGTGACGCTTGCGGCTGTGTCGGCGGCGGCTCCGGCGGCCGGGTCGGTGGCGGCGCCGGTGGCCGCGTCGGCGGCGACGCCGGAAGGCGCACCAGCAGTGACTTCGGTGGCGCCAGTAGCAGCAACAGCGACAAAATCCACGACAGCGACCACGGCGCCGGCGCGGATGACTACGCCCGTGAAGAAATCAGCCTCTGCAGTCAGCTCGGCGAAGCTGACGGTTTCTGAGCCAGCCCGCTCTCCAACAGCAACGCAAGACACAGCGCGATTATCTACGATATCCACCAGCGCACACAGCAGACCGACGTGGTCTTCCGACATGGGTGAACCAACACCTCAACAACGAGCGAAACACATGGAAGAAATGAAGGCAGCTTTCCCCAGCGTATTTGACACTTCTACGCTACGCGAGATGACAGGAGGGCCAATGAAGATACACATCAGAGAAGATGCCAAGCCCTTCGCTCTCACAGCAGCTCGGAAGATCCCTTTTGGCTGGAGGGCCAAAGTTAAAGAACAGTTGGACGACCTGGAAGCAAAGTCCATCATCACTCCGGTGCAGGAGCCCACCGAGTGGTGTCATCCAATTGTGGTAGTCCCAAAGAAGGACTCTGAAGAGGTACGAGTCTGTGTTGACCTCACGAAGCTCAACGCACATGTCAAGAGGGGACCACACCCAATTTGCACGCCTCACGAAGCAGTATCTGGCATCAGCAAAGACGCGAAGTACTTCTCGAAGTTCGATGCTAAGCATGGATATTTCCAGATAGCCATCGCTCCTGAAGATCAACACTTCACCACATTCATCACGCCCTGGAAGAGGTACCAGTTTCGGAGAGCTCCTCAAGGCCTGGTCACCAGTGGGGATGAGTATGGACGGCGCGGAGATCAGGCACTGGACGGTGTACCACGCACAAGCAAGGTGGTTGATGATATCCTAGCTCATGACGCTGATTACGACACGCATCTTGCTCACGTGTGGACTATCCTCGAACGCTGCCAAGAACATGGCATCACTCTGAACCCTGCAAAAATGGAATTCGCGGAGCCCCAAGTGGAGTTCTGTGGCTACCGGCTGAGCAAGGAAGGATTCACCCCGGACAACCGCAAGGTGGACGCCATCGGGTCGTTCCCAACGCCGACGAACATCACAGATCTCCGGGGTTTCCTTGGACTGGTGGGACAGCTCAGTGAGTTTTCGCCGTGGATAGCCGACGCCGCTGAACCACTTCGTGATCTCCTCAAGCCGAGCAACGAGTGGCTGTGGACGTCTCAGCACGACGCGGCGTTTGAGAAGGTGAAAAAGGCGCTCGTCTCCCCACCAGTTCTCGCGTTCTTCTCTCCAGGACTGCCAACAGTTCTGCAAACGGATGCCTCTCGACAGCAGGGCCTCGGTTACGTCCTTATGCAGCAGCACGGCACGGAATGGAAAATGATACAATGTGGATCACGATTCCTAACCGACACTGAAAGTAGATATGCTGTGATCGAGCTCGAAATGCTGGCGATAGTGTGGGCTACCAAGAAGTGTCGGCTCTACCTCGCAGGCTGTCCTAACTATACTCTGATCACCGATCACAGGCCATTGATCCCGATCCTAAACTCACGATCACTGAGTGAGATCGAGAACCCCCGTTTGCTACGTCTGCGAGAGAAAATAACAATGTACCAGTTCACAGCGGAGTGGCGTGCTGGGACAGCACTGGCCATCCCTGACGCGCTCTCTCGGGCACCAGTCAGCGACCCCACTCCCGAAGATGAAGAAGATGAAGCTGACGTGAGTCATCATGTCCACCAGATCGTCATGACGACAGTCGGCGCCGTGACAGAGGACGGCACTCGTCTCATGCCGATGCGAGCGGATCCGCTCGAGAAGGTACGTGCCGCGTCTCGCAGAGATGCTGAATATCAAGAACTACGCTCGCTTATCCGTAATGGCTTTCCTGGAACCAAAGGTGAACTGAGCAGTACTATGAGACCGTACTGGGGCGTCCGTGACCGACTCACTGTTGATGACGATCTTATTGTTTGCGGGGCGAGGTTAGTGATACCTCGGGGCCTCAGAGCAGAGGTACTGCAGAGTTTACACGATAGTCACCAGGGCATCAACCGTACAAAAATGAGGGCCAGACAGACCGTTTACTGGCCGAACATAGACAATGATGTGACTAATGTGGTGTCTTCATGTCGTCTTTGCAGGACGTTGTTACCCAGCCAGCAGAAGGAGCCCATGATGACGGAGTCACCACCCACCAGGGTCTTCGAGCGAGTCTCTGTTGATTATTTTCACCATGCAGGCAAGACCTATTTCGTTTACGTTGATCGTTTGTCGAACTGGCCCATTGTCAAGGAATGTCGTACGGAGGCAACATCACGCCAGCTTGTTGGCCTCCTGAGAGAAACGTTTGCCGCAACCGGTGTACCCACTATACTTCGTTCTGACGGCGGTCCCCAGTTTGCGGCTGAAAGGACCCGGGATTTCCTGAAAAGGTGGGGCGTGACACTTGTCTTATCCAGTCCCTATTACCCTCAGAGCAATGGACATGCTGAAGCTGGCGTGAAGTCAGTCAAACGACTGATAATGAAGACGACCCAGCACGGCGAACTGGACTGTGACGAGTTCGCAAGGGGACTTCTCGAGCTACGGAACACCCCTGGCGAGCACGGGCGGTCGCCTGCCCAAATCCTGTTTGGACACCCGCTACAGTCATCAGTCCCGGCTCACCGCAGGGCATTCGCTGTCGAGTGGCAGACGGCCGCTGAGAAGTACGACCGGTCTCGCGCTCACGCAACTGAGTACGTACGTGATCATTACAATAGTACTGCCAAGCCTCTCCCCGCCGTGCGCATCGGCACAACCGTCGATGTGCAGGACTCGCGTACGGGCCAGTGGGACAGGACGGGCATCGTGGTCGGCGTGGGTGATCATCGTGATTATCTCGTAAAGTTGCCCAGTGGTCGTGTATTGTGGCGTAACCGGCGATTTTTGCGCCCCCATCGTCCGCTGTTACCTTGTTCGTTCCGCCCATGTAGCGTTCCGTCGCCGCCTGCACGTGATAGTTCGCCCGCGGAACGTGACGACTCTCGGCTCGTCCGATTCCGCCTCGATGGTGTTGATGCGCCCTCTGTGGCGCCGTGTGCTCCCACTGTCACCTGTGAGCCTGCTCCATTGCGTCGCAGTGAACGTGCGCGCCGTGCTCCAAGTCGCTTGGTTATTAATCCGCGGTTGAAGTCCTATGATTAAGGCACTGTGCCCACGTTGCGGCACTCGCTGTAGTTTTGTTACGTTGGTACGTTTGTGTCCATGTGTATGTGGCGCAGAAACATTTTCTTTTTCTTAAACTTAAACTGTTGTACCAGTGCAGTGTCACAACAATTTGGGGGAGGTGTACCGGCCCGTACCTGTGACCGACTGTGATGGGCTGACCGGGATCGCCTGCGGCGCCTGGGGGCGCCGGCCGGGCGGACGGAGGGTCAGTGTGTGCTGTGGACTGGTGGAGTGCGGTGCGCCAATACACAACACATGCACCAAATGTGTACCAGATGGCCGTCGTGAAAACGGCTAATAGGTCATATATCTCCAACAGATAACGCGATAAATCGTCAGAGTTATAAAACATCTGTAAGTTGAAATTAAAAAGTGAGCTAAACAAAAGATGGTGGTGTGGGCTATTGGACTAGATGGCGATATATAACGTTAACAGTCGACAAACCTCTCTGGAACAGCGGTGAAACATCGTTATTAACTTGTAGAGCGGGGCATGACGTAGGATTCGTGCTGCAGCCGGGATAAACAATGCAAGACGAATTAATGTGCTTATCGTGCCTCTATCTGGTCATGCACTTCTATATTGCACAGTAAATCATTTAGTTTGGCACATTTGGAGCAGTTGAACAATTTTTCATATGCGTGCACCCAGCAGAAAATGACTTCAGGATCCGCCAGTGCGTCAGCACCAGCCTTCGTTCACGTATGTTCAGTGTGATGCGCCTGGAGAAGTCGGTCAAAGTTAGTTTTCGTTTTTAGTTCATATTTTTTAAACATGGCTGCTGTTTGTATCAAAGCTTGTGGAACATTATCATGCCATCGTCGTCAGTTTTGACACTCACTCTCAGCTTTATCATCCCTAAATGTATATAGCCATGATTTGTCATCAGTGCCGCTTCCGCTGGGAGCTATGAATTCATTTCCCAGAAGGTTTTCTTTGTAGCTTGCCTTTAAAAATTGAGTTTTATTTGCTTACATAATATCCAGAACTGCTTTCTCCAGCCACAAAAACAGATAGAGCAAAAATGCAAAAACGTCACAAAAAGGCTCCTTGCAGATAAGCGATAAAAATACACGTGTCGAAGTGGCGCCCATATATGTAGTTATGTACATAAACCTATACATACTTAACTAATATCAACACGGCTGTTTCAGCTGCAGGCGAAATGGCGGATGAGAGCCAAAATGGTAGGTAGGGTGGCACTTAATTTCGACTTTTTTTATTTCGACCGGGACGGGGAGCCATATTGTTCTACCTCACGAAAAAATGATCTGTATGAAATTTTATCAAAAAATATTTATATTTAGAGGTAGCTCATTGGGGTCATACTTGGTACATATTGACAAAACGTATATTGTGAACGGGGATTCAGATGTGTGTCGCGCCTTTCCAAGCATTGTCACATTTGAGCTGTAACACGTTTAAATGAATGATAGGTGCCTTCCTATTTGTTTCATAACCACAGTGTTTCTCGCCGCAAACGCGCTGTGCCGCAATGCGTGATTTAACTAATGGCCGTTAAGCGTAGTTAAGCTTATTTTGTTCGCTGACGGTAGCCCGCTGCCAGGCGTGCAGCTTCAGCTCTTCTCTCGTATCACGATGGTTGGGAAGGGTCACGAGACTGCTAGCACTTACCGGGGTTACATGAGCAAATAAATGCGTATCAGGAATGGTTTTTCTTCGCTGAGTATTGTGATCCGTTTGTAATACGCATTTACTCTGCTCATGTATCCCCGGTCACTGATGCGCAGGGGTACACTGCCAGTGTTCGGCCACAGGACAGGTCTCCGTGTCTTCGTGATGTCAGGGAGAAGACGTGCACGTGAAAAAGATAAGCTGTGTTTTGCTAAGCCATTTCAGAACATTTTTCGCTAGCCAGGCTCAAATTGACAAGCCGCAGCAAACGCTGTTCTAGAATCCCTCGATGAGCGAGAGTTGAATGATTGAGTGAAAGCGCTCAGTTTTGACACATGTGCATCGAACACCGGCCTCAATGCGGGAGCCTGCACGATCATCGAGCAGCGGCTCGAGCAGGACTTGCTCCACCTGACTTGCCACGACATTTACGAGTTTGTTTTATATAAAGACATTTTCAGCCTGCCTCGGCCCGTCCAGCGGCCCGGACGTTGTTTTGCTTAAGCGCTTCCAGAAAAAGTGGGCGTCTAGATGGAACGAAGCCATACACCTTCAAATACTGTGACATATCCCACCTCCACAACTCGCGTGATGCTCTTGCACAGTTCAGTCGTATATCCTTGACCGCCAGCACTCGCCCGACAACCGTTAGATGCTGGAGCTGGTCATCACTGTCCTCGGTGGTGCTCCGAAGCGAGGTATGAAGATCGCTCGCCCCGATATGCTCCTTGTGTTGCTGGTTGACCAATGCCATTTACGCTATGAAGTTTTACCTCTTCCGAGCACAATCCCGGCTCACTACGTCTAAGAAGAAGAGCCTCCAACAAATCGTGACCTTTGTGGTAACAACGTAGTTTTCGGCTCGATTCAATGCACCGTTTCCGGCGTCTGCACCAGCGCAAGATCTCGACTTCCTCAAGTCCCTCCTAGAGTACGAATTGGACAAATTGGTGTTCGAATTGGTGTCCAAGGCGACAGCCATTGCCTTCAGCCGTCATCTCTGGTATATAAATGAGAGGCTGGTCGCCCTCAACTTCTAATGAAGGAGATTACGATCGCTGCTACTAAACGTGAGATGGCTGCATCGTTACGAGAGAAGGAGAGGGCCAAGGACCCCTCCATCTCCCCCCCCCCCGTCGAGCCCACGTTGAACTTACTATAGCTTCAGTCTCTAGCAAGTCCACGGCAAACTTCGTCATATCACAACTGGCTTCACAAGCTTCTTCAGCATCTTCGGTATGGACACCGACTTCCTCTTGAAGGATCCGATTCTTTGGGAGGTCAAGCCATTCTACAACGCCGCCATGCGCTACATGAGGTCTCTTCACGCCTCTACGACTTCGTGGAACGAGGCATTTTGTTGATGGCCAGGACATCGATCTGACCCCCACGAAGGATAAAGACTAACAGCAGCTCCTCTTGTGCGCAAAATGACCTAAGTAGTCGACGCGCCCTAAAGCCCCAAATAACAACAACAACAACAACAGCAGCTCCTCTTGTAGGTCGTCGAGGAGCAAAGACGCAAGCATTCTGACATACGCAAGGCGATCGTAACTTCTGAGTAGGCAAGACTAGCCGACGAATGATGTGTACAAGTGTTGGCTGATAACGGATGATACCGCTTTCTCTTTTCATGGAGTTATGCAGTAAGTTATGCATACCTTCAAAAGAATTATGTACCTCATATGTACCTATATATCTGAGTTTTAGGTGCTGAAACGTTTCGATAAAGTCTTGTCAACGTCCAATGTCATTGTGAACATTAGAAATACACGTGGAAATTACAATTTCGGCAAAGTTGTGTTTTTCCCAAAAATGTGAACTTTGACCTGGTTGAGCTACCTCTAAATAAACATATTTTCCAAAAATATTTTACGCACAACGTTTTCTCGGGTGGTAGAACAGATTGGCTGCCCGTCCCGTCGAAAATTCTCAAAACAAAATTTTAGCCCCGTTTTAGTGCCACCCTAATGGTAGGTCATTCATAATGTACCGTGGATTCCAGAGAGCTTGTAGTTTAGTTTTTCGGCTCATTTCTCGTTGCCCATTCAATTGATTTTATCATGCTTCGGCAAAGCTAGCTCGGAAAAACTACATAACTTTTTTATAAGTCTATTTGTAAAGCTGAAGCACAAAATACAAGGCACATAGACTGGTAAATCGGTCGGAAAACTCGGCGTCGTGATCGAGGCAAACATGTTGTAGAGATCAGTTTTCACGCAACAGCCGTGCTTCGCCCGCCCAATACCTGCAAATGTTTTGCCCTTGTTGCGCCGTGACCTGGGAAAAGGTTGCAGTGACATCCATCAGCCGGCGTGGCATTTAGCAGCCTTGGCGCGTCCCATACGGGCACACTGACTGCTTCGTACTCCGTTTACAATAGCGTCTGTCAAATAAACGGTTATCTTGACCCTCCCAAAGGCAGACTAGTCTGGAAATGCCTGAGTCTGCGAGTACCTACTGTACGAAAGTACCGCTTTGGGACTTGGCATCAAGTGCATCCATTCACTCAAAACCGAGATAATAATTATAATGAAATTGGTCAATGCCTACAAAAGTTTATCTGGCGTATTTTTAGCAAAATGATTCAGGTTGACATCCTGTGTAAAGTTATTTATTTGCGCTTGGATATGCAGAAGGATAAACGTTTCGGTTGAATCCCTGCAGCTGTAGTTTCTCCTATACCGAATACAAAATTATATTTTATAAGTGTGCCTGTCTGCGTTTCCATCCATTTACAAGTATGCGTAAGGCGTCTTCTGCCAGGTAACATCAGATACTTTAGGTGCATTTGCTAGCAGTTGCCAGGTCAGATGCTCCTTGCTGGGCCTTTTCGTGGATATGTTTTGGATATGTCATATGCAGGGATGTGGAGCCGTGGAAATTTCAGACGGCTCCGGGTCCGGCTCCGGCTCCGGATGAAAAACGGCTCCGGCTCCGGCTCCGGCTCCGAGTAAAATGTTCCGGCTCCGGCGGCTCCGGCCTCGGCTCCGGCTCCAGAACTCAGTACATCCCTTATGCAATTAAATACGGGTGGAAGAAAAAAGACGATGGGATTGGTACACGTTGCTAATTGCTTCTGTATTTGCATAACAAGGCCATTTTTGTTTTTAGGGCCTTGACTATTTTCATATTTTGAACACCACATGTTTTACTGCCTTGTACTATCAAACCGAACTAGGCCAATCAAGTTTTCCTCTTAAAAAAAGAGCCAGAGTGGCCCCGCCCCTTTTTTTACTGCTCCAGCTCCGGCTTCGGCTCCGGGCTATATTGTTTCACGGCTCCGGCTCCGGCTCCGGGCAAAATATGCCGGCTCCGGCGGCTCCGGCTGCGGCTCCGGCTCCGGCTCCGCACCCCTGGTCATATGCAATATCATTCTGCATATTTGCAACCTGCAAACTCGCCGTTGCTAGGTACACACTCCTGACGCTAACACAATGCTGGTAACCGCCGACCATTAGTGCCAATTCCCGCTCAGCCAATTATCTAGTGATACGGGCCCGGGTGCGGGGCGTCACGGGATGGCCTGTGGTTCGTGACGGCCACTTATAAACCATGTCGCCCTCGCCGCCCCTCTTCAGTGACTGTCCGCGACAAGACGTGCTCGGACG